ACTGCGGAGTCATGCTGGTGGCGCATTATCCTTCATGACTTAGTGACGGTGTGGTCGGAGTTTCCCGCTCCCCATGGTTAGCGAATGGACTGCTAGATGGAAAGACTCGGATGAGTAACGGGCCTTGCTGGTCTGGCCGAGTACTATCAGACAGGATAGTGGAAAACCAGCAAAGAGGCGTGGTTGTCCCGCATGGGATATGAACTCACTTGGCGGCTCTCGGATGGAAACCCCACCGAGATGTGAACCGACCGAGGAGCTCCCGGGGTAAACGATGTTCTGGCTTGGCTTGTCTTTGTGATAGCTAAGTGCATGGTGTTCATAGTAGTGATGTTCCAGCTTGGCTTGTCTTTGTGATAGTCAAGTGCAGGGTGTTCGCGAAGGAGAACTGGCCGACCCACTTAGAAATCTCTGTGTCCACGCGAGTGTGTGGTGTGGTGTTTGGTAGTGGGTGTGCGTTGAGAAAACACGGTGTGGTACAAAAGTGGTAGCACCTTTGCATATAATTTAGCGCTTGCATATAGATCTAAGATTGCATGCTTCAGCTATTTATTTATGTTGCTTCGGCTATTGCGTGATTGTTTGCTTGCTTGTTGTTTGGGGAGTTTTCTTGGGGATTTTGGGGTTTATATTGTTAGAGGATCCTGGACTCACTGAGTAATCTTAGATTACTCTCTCCCCTTTTTTCCTTCCTACAGGTAACCCGTAGGTGGCCTTAGTAAGCGGAGCGGAACGTTAGGACACCAGAGTAGATTTGTGTTTGGCTTTTTTAAAACTCGGTTGTGAGACAAAGTATGTACTAGATGCCTTTTTGGGTTCACTCTACGCTGCAGCATTATATATATAGTATGTAAGAACGTATTTTCGAGAATGTTATGGTATTAATAATAAGTACGTTTTTACAAAGTTGGGCTTGCTTAATGATATTAGTCTAGTCCTGACTAACACAACTCAAGATTGGGGAACGGGTTGAAAAGCCTTAGGCCTTGGTCGAGAGGGTTCGAGCTAACTTGAGGAGACGGCCTTATGCTTGGATTCGTTCCAAGACAGGCTGACTTATCGAGTGAACCTCGGCTTTGTGACATCCGCGGTTCGACCTTGGGTATAGATGTGTTACAGCCGCTACTATCACAATCTGGATTCTACTCTCCGAATTTTCTTTCCGATTATTCTTACGTGCTTTCAAAGAACGGTGACAGATACACTTTCCTAACAAAGTTTAAAACCTTATTCTATATAAATATTCTTATTTCAGCAAATTTTTAATATAATTTTTTTTTAAATTACATGGTTTTCACAACCTAAAATCTAAATTATTGGCAAAATTTTACTAACAAACATAATGAAATATACTGTAAACCTAAAATTGTTAAACTATCACAAATTCGCATTGCGCGAACCTTCCCCTAGTTCTAATATATGCTGAGATAGTATTTATACTTTTATATATAGTTAAAGCTATATTGTTTTATATAAAATTTGTTTTAGCATGAAAATATTAATTGTTGCTCTTTCAACTCCACATAAGAGGTTGTTCAAGAATTATTTTTAATTTCAAATCAAATCGTACTTATTTTATATTTAAATATTGTAAACAATTAAAATAAAATAATCAAAATAATCAAACTTATAATTCTAAATCATCTAAATTATGTTAATTATCTTATACAGTTTGGCGTACAAAAAAACGAGTTTATTATATCCAAGGGCACTTTTCACACTTTCAATAACAAAATAAGACACTTTTTGCTTAAGAGGCACTTTTGGCACTTTAGTGAGAGATCTCCATTAGTGATATGTTTGTTGATTGAATTACCCATATTACCCTTTTTAATTGTTTCTATATAATCTCAATTATTTTGTTGTTCCCATGATTCAGTGACGGCTCCTTTCTTCTTCTTCAACTTCTTTCTCTTTCATCTCCATCAACTTCTTTCTCTTTCATCTTCTTCTTCTTCTTCTCTTTCATCTTGCTTCATTCTCTTCTTCTCTCTTTCCTCTCTTTCTTATCTCCATCAAATCTAGCTCTCAGATTTTTTGGATTTTCTTTACGAAACATTTTTCCCAGATTTGATTCTATAGACAAGACAGAGATGTATAGAATTGTATAAGGATGCAATGGTAAGTTAATTTATGGATGTGATTGTGTGAACATGGAGTTGTGGATGAGAATTCTCTAAAAAATCCAATCTAGTCGGCCATATCTAAAAATAAAAACCCTAATAAAAAAAAAAAAGAGTCACACTTCAATTGGACACATTTCGATGGACACGATATAATGGACACATCTCGATGTACACAACTTGATGGATACATATTGGTAGATTGTTAAATATGGCTTAGGTAGATAGCTTCTTTTGGTGGATATTGTTTTATTGATTATATGTCAACGCGAAATTATGGATACTAAGTGATAGCCATAATGGATATGATGTTATGGACAACAAAACATATTAAGCAGCCAAAATTAATGATTAAAGATAGATTCTTGCATCTCATTATATCCACACAGCAGTATCAACTTCTAATGGACAATTGGTGATGGATAAAGTGCAATGAACAACAGAAGATATCAAGAAGCCAAAATCAATGATTAAAGATGAATTTTTGCACCTGAGTATGTCCCTAGTACAATATCCATAAGACAATATCCACATGGACATGGTTGTTGGAGAATGAATGATGAATGTGGCTTTGTCGTTACAATAAGTAAGTTCTAAGCTGTGTACAACATCTGATATATACAATTGGTAATGGATGGTGTGCGATGGACAACAAACCTGATCAGAAAGCCATAATCGATGATCAAAGATCAATTCTTATTTCTAATTCTGTCCACATGACAACATCCGTAAGGAAATATCCACATGAAGAAAATGGACAGGGTGTTGTGGACATCAAACCAAATCAAGAAACAAAAATCAATGATTACAAATCGATTATTCTTTATGATTTTGTCCACATGCCAATATTCACTAGACAATATTCACATGGATATGATCACTGGAGAGTGTATCCATTGATTTTTATTTTAGAGTTTCTGTCCATAGGCACCTGTCCATGTGTCATTTTTCATAAAAGAGTATCCACTAATGATGTCCATGAGTGTGTGTCTGTGTGGCAGTGTCCATTAGATTTGGTACAAATATATCGGTGTCTGTATAATTAATAACATTTCCTTCTCCTTTTCCATCGCATGAACATGCTCACTCATTCTTATGTGTCCACTTGGTCATGTCCATGCATTGTCCATTTATTTAGTATTAATATATTCTTGCCTGATGGAAAAACTTTGAGACGTCTATGTAGTTGAGAAGGAGTAGATTTGGTTTTGCAGTTTAAGAAGAAGAACTCTGAGACGTGTATGGTGATTGAGGAGGAATAGATCTGGGTTTTGTAATTGTAGAAGAAGAACTTTGAGACGTCTATGGTGGTTACAAAGAAGTAGATCTGGATTGCAGAATAGTAGATCTAGGTTTTTTTCCGATTTTGAAACCAGAATTTTTTTGGTTCTTTTCAACAAGATCCAAAAAATATAATAAAGAGAATCTTTGATTAAGTAGAAGTGATAAGGATGAACAAAGAGAGAAAACCTGGTTGATATTGATCGGTGTTGATGACTGTCGGGAAAGAGTTAAAAGAGAGAGCATGTGAGAAAACTTGAAGATACAAAGTATGCTCAGAAAATCGAAAATATAAAACGAAGAAAGCAATGCCATGGGAACATAAATACCACCTGTAAATCTCTGCTTTCAATATAAGATAAATACAGGGTTATTTGTGTCAATTCGCCCATCAAAAGTGCCTAATGAGCAACAAGTGCCTTTTCTGTAAGACAAACTACTAAAAGTGCATGTAAGCTTAATTAACTAAAAAAATACTCATAAACACAACTCTCGAAGACTATGCTTAAAGAGTGTGATGAAATGTTGGTTCGCCTGTAAGAGCATCTGGTGTTCGTTCAAGCCTGTATGAAGGACAACGCAGATAAACATCGTCGGGAGTTAGAGTTTGTGGTAAGAGACAAAGTATTTCTCAAGCTTTGTCCAGATCGCCAACAGTCGGTATCCAAGCGTTGGTGACAAAAATTAGCGGCTAAATAATATGGTCTGTTCGAAGTTACAGCCAGGATCAGAGCAATAGCTTATCTGCTTAAACTTCCTCAGGATTCAAAGGTGGTTCCTTTACTGTCGACATTTAACAATAAGCCAGACTTGGTTATTGAACCTGAATGCGGGTCATTTGGAAGCCATAGTCAAGTGGACTGGTCTGGAGGAACATGAATGCTCGTGGGTTTTTGCCGTTGATTTGATTAAGCAGTTCCCATATTTGGCGCTTGTGGACAAGCTTTGTTTCGCCGAGGGGGTATTGCTAAGCCACTAAAAGCTGAAAGAAGATAATCAAAGGAGAAGAAACATAGCCAGAGAATGCTGAGCTGGACAAAGAAAAAGATTGACTTCACTGATGTGGAAATGAATGTTGCGTTATAATTCTTTGTATATAAATAGTTACATTTGTTATTCGGAGGGAAATTCTAGAAATTGGGACAGTGGGTCACGAGAGAGAGTCACGAGAGAGAGAATCTTTATGAATTAAGCTACATTTGTTCTCACGGTTGATTTGGTTGATCGTCATTGGAGAGTCTCCGTCACGCATCAATCTTATACTTCATTTTGTGAATTAAATAAACGGAGTGTTTTTCGCTTAACATAATCCTGAAAAATTAAAAAAATTAAAAAATCAAATAGAAAAGTTGAGACTCATAGTGATCTTATCTTTGAATTGAATAGATTGATTCTTTGTGCTTACATAATTTTAATCTTATGGTTCCTGTATCTGTTGAAAAACCATGAAAATTCAAACCAAAGTTTGAAACATTCTCAGATTAAGTCAATAGATTATGGGCTTCGCTAATTCTTTGTGTTTGTGTTATCATTTCAAATTTTCTTTGTCAATTTGCTAAAAAAAAAAAGGTAGAATGTTCTGCATTCTCTATATAAATGCTAGAGTTTTAATATTGTAAACGTAAAGGCAAGTTTTTTCGCTTAGTTAGACATGAGACTACTTTTTTCTTTTGGTGTAAGACATGAGACTACTTGTCAAGAGCACATAATTCTTATAACACAAATCTCTTTGATTCTTGATTTATCTTGCAGTTCTAGTAAAGATTAATACTACTAACAGTTTCAGACTCTATGTCTTTGTTTTCTTTCATCTAGTGTGAACACATCAGCTGCTGTTTCAGCCACTGAACTTCTCCTGAAGAGTGTGGAAGCCGAGTTCCCCAAACAGAAGAAGAAGTTAGCCATTGTAGAATTCAAGAAGACAAAAGTAGCACTCAAGAGACGCAGTAAAAGCCATGAGGAAGATATGGGTAATGTTAAAATTCCTGAAAAATCTCTTGATCTAATAGCCTGAGATAATCCTTCACTAGTTGTGAATCCATTTTTTTTTCTTTATTACAGATCTACCTTCACTTCCACAAGATATCCTCATTCACATCTTCAGTTTCCTCGATGCATCGTCCTTACTTTCTGCATCTCAAGTGTCTCGGTACTTCCACATTGCAGAGTCTTAACCTAGGCTACTTTCTTTTTCTCTCCCTCTACTTATCTGTTTTGTTTTGTAGCTCATTGAACCAAGCAACGTGTGAGGACTCTCTGTGGCGATCACAATTTAAACTTCACTTCTATCACAAATTTGTGATTCTTAATCAGTCCGATAATGACTACAGAGAAGCCTTTAAGCAGGCTTTTATCGCTTTGTTTTGTCTTCGCTCTTTCAAAAAAATTGCATTTCGCTAAGTACATATGTGTACTTTTGTGTGACGGTGCAGAGGATAAGTCATCAAAGGTTATAAGATCTGGTCGAGGTTACTGCGATAACTGCAACTCCATTGTTTGGCACGACAACCTGAAATGTTCGAAGAAACAATGTCGGTTGATGAACTTTGGCAAGGAGCCACTCGAACCCATGTCGACTCAACGGGTAAAGCGTTTTTCCTCTTCCAAGAAAATGTCTTCTCGTGTTTTTTTTGGTACTTGTAGGGCAAGTTATCTATATGTTTTTGTGTGGTTTTGTCTCTTAACTAGGTTGTTAACTATCTACTGGGGACATATAGTTCGTCTGATGACAGTGATTCAGATGATGAAGCCATTCCTGGAGGACCTGGACTATGGGCTTATCCTACACTACACTAGTTTCATTGCTTTACCGAAACATTCTTTCTCTGTAAACTTTGTGAAGATTTGGGTAATGAATGTGAGTTTTTGAGTTTTTGTGAAGATTTAGGTAATAAATGTAGATTTTTGTTTAAAAAAGAAACAAAGTAAAATAGTTTTATTATTCATATATTAAAAAAAAGAAAAGAAAATCTAAGCATATTTGGATGAATGAATAACATAATAACGAAATAATTAAAAAATTATTACAGAATGAACTGAACTGAATAATATTTTGGCTGAATAATTGCGAAACGCTGAAAACTACTTTTAGTAGATTAATCACGTATTTTTTTAGTTATATTTTTAACATATTAGTGAAATCACATTTTAAAAACATAAAAAACGTGAAAACGTGATAAATAACATGAATAGTAAAAAATAACATAATCAAGTTTTCAAAACGTGAAAACGTGAAAAAGCTGTATATCATTCAAATCCAAAGTGAAATAGTTTTATTATTCATATATTAAAAAAAGAAAAGAAAATCTAAGCGTATTTGGATGAATGAATAACATAATAACGAAATAATTAAAAAATTATTGACGAAATGAACTGAACTGAATAATATTTTGGCTGAATAATTGCGAAACGCTGAAAATCTACTTTTAGTAGATTAATCACGTGTTTTTTAGTTATATTTTTAACACGCTAGTGAAATCACATTTTAAAAACATAAAAACATGAAAACATGATAAATAATATGATTGGTAAAAAATAACATAATCAAGTTTTTAAAATGTTTGGAGTTAAAGGGAAGTGTAGAGATAGGGTGCGCTTTGTAAGAGAACTCGCCGTGGATGTTACAAAAGCACGTTCTAAAATACGAGGTCGATCCCAAGTGGTACAGAGGGTGGAGAGGAACATAAAGTGGATATTACCAACAGATGGGTGGTTGAAGCTAAATACAGATGGGGCTTCACGTGGTAATCTCGGGGACGCTACTGCTGGAGGGGTCTTGCGTGATGAGGTGGGTCAATGGCGTGGGGGTTTCGCGCTGAATATTGGCATATGCTCGGCACCTTTGGCGGAGCTATGGGGGGTGTACTATGGGTTATGTATTGTTTGGGAGAAACGAGTGGTGAAGTTAGAGATTGAAGTGGATTCTGAGATTGTGGTGGGGTTTCTAAAGTCTGGCATCAGTGACGCCTATCCTCTCTCCTTCCTAGCATATTTGTGCTATGGCTTACTTTCACGGGACTGGTCAGTCCGCATTTCACATGTTTATAGAGAGGCGAATCGTCTTGCAGATGGTTTAGCTAATTTTGCTTTTACTTTACCTCTAGGTATTCATGTTTTTGATTATGTACAGGACACCCTTTCATCCATCATGTTAGATGATGAAAATGGTGTTGCAGGATCTCGATATGTACGTTTGTGATTTTCGAGTTTGGAATAAATAAGGGGAGACTTTTGTCTCCTCTCCTCGACCAAAAAAAAAGAAGGTGAAAATATGAAAAAGCTGTATACCATTCAAATCTAAAGTGAAATAGTTTTATTATTCATATAAGAAAAAAAGAAAAGAAAATGTAATCATATTTGGATAGTTTGCTTTGTATATATACGTTCTTATGGTAACAAAATATGCCTGTCTAATAAAAGTGTTATGTTCCTCCAAGCGAATTATGTTTCGGGTGATTTATTCAAAATAAAAACAGTAGAAATAAAAACAAAAATATACTAAATTTGTTTTTGGTGATCATCAAAAAAACTATAGAAATAAAAAGAAAAAGATTGATGAAAAAGAATATGTTGTTGTAGACTACTAAGACTAGCAGTGAATAGTTGATGGTAATTAGAAGAAAAAAAAATTAGTAGTTTAAAAATATAAAAATGCCTATACAGAAAAACACTAAGCATAGGTTAGAAAGAAAAAACATACAAAATTGTAAGTTATCATTTTTATTCTAACTAGATTACTATCTGTGCCTTGCACGGGATATTTTGAACTTATAATTTATAAATTAAAATTATCACTAAAATTACAAAATGAGAAATTTTTAATTTATAAGAAATGTATTTAAATTATTGATAGTTTGGTATTTTTGATATTATGTTACTATATTTGAAAATTATTTACGTAATATAGATTTCTCTGTTAGAATGATAAATATATAAGACATATTAAATTTAATTATTCAATTTTAGTTCATATAACAGATTTGATATATCACAGAGAATATTAGTTCATATCAAATAGGGGTAACAGATTTGATATATCACATAGAATAACAGATTTGATATATCACGCAGAATTTATTTTTAAAAATCAGGACAACTAAGTTGTTACTGTACATTCGATATACACGGTGTAAAAGTTTTTTAGTTCACATCTACTTTTGTAATTTTAGTTAACGGAATTATAGGAAAATTTTATAGAATATACACAAATGCTCTAGGTTGGTAAAGGAAGATTTAAAAATTAAAATTTATCTGGTGGCATAGGTAGTATTCTAAAATTTGATCAACTAAAATATTAATGTTTAGATATTAACAGAATTGTTTGATTTGATATAAACGGAACATAACATATTTTAATATAGGAAGATTCGATATTTGAAAGGTTTGTTTGAGGAATTAATAATCTTAGTTCATATCTAATATTAATAACAGTTTTGATACATCACAGATTAATTTGATATATCATAGAGAGTATTAGTTCATATCAATTATCAATAACAGATTTGATATATCACAGAGAGTATTAGTTCATATCAAATATCAATAACGGATTTGATATATCACGCAGAATTTATTTTTGAAAATCATTTGTTACTATACATTCGATTTACACGGTGTAAAAAATATTTAGTTACGGACAATTCATTTGTTACTATACATTCGATTTACACGGTGTAAAAAATATTTAGTGACACATCTACTTTTGTAATTATAGTTGATGGAATTATAGGAAACTTTTATGGAATATACACAAATGCTCTAGATTGGTGAAGGAAGATCTAAAAATTAAAATTTATCCCGTGGCACGGGTAGTATTCTAAAATTTGATCAACTTTTTATTATGTTTAGATATTAATCAGATTTCACAGGAAGTACATGATTATATTGTTTGATTTATACATTCATTCATTTAGCTGTATGTTAGATTCACGTAATCAATTAGTAAAAACACTCAAGCCACTAAAAATAGAGATAGCATACTCAGAATTATTGCATAGATTTGGAATAAAAGTGTTACATAGAAACGAAACAAAAAACAAAATTAGAAGCAAAAACAGAAAAGAAATAAGCATATATGGAGTACCATTGAAATTATTGTGTTATTCAATTACACCATTTATCTATTTATTAAAAACATTTTAAATAAGTCTCATTGATCATCCTCAAGCAGATGCAAGGCAAGACATGCAAGCTTGAAAGTAGGATAAACAACACCGTTCACTGTCCTCATATCCTGAAAAGAAGATGCTCCCTTCACGAACAGCAATAAAAGTCGCAAGTAATAGATCTCTCCATCAAACTTACAACAATACACCAAATGACTTGCTGAAGATGGACCCCGACAACGACGCCTCCATCACTTATTCTTGACATCTCATACCCACTTAGAAGGGAAATTTGAATATGTTAATTCCCTAGCTTCAGGATAGACCTTATTACACTCCATTCAACTCAGCAACTTTAATGAACTAATGTTCCATTTTAAGGTGAGTAAGGGAGATGGAATGGCAAAACATTGATGCCAGCAAAATGAATTAATATCATTTAGAAAACATGATTTCATAAGGTGTATAAAAATTATATTTTGCAAATCTAAAACAGGATTAACACAATTACTCACCAATAGATCTTTTGGGCTATGTTTAAAGGGATTGTTCTTTATGTCTGCCTGCTCTGTTTCTTCATATGTTTGAGACTCCTTCTGTATTTTTGAATATTGTTAATGTTTTTTCAGCTTTTAAAAAGAATTCAGATGGCCAAAGAAAAAAAAGTAAAAAATGTTGGTGATTTTGAAGATTCTGATTATTTTAGATTTTATATTATTAATTTTAAATCTAAAATTGTTTTTTTTTAACAAATACATAATTAGCTTTGCCAAATATAAACGCTTAACTTGAGTTTAAAGTATAATCAAAATGATACTCTTCGCCAAAAATTTAGCTTCTGCATTTTTCTCTTTCGATACAAGTTAAAAAAAAAATATAGAGATCAATTTTTGATATCTTAAAAGATACCATGATTTCCTTCAGTAATTCTTCACCTCTTAGCGTTTTGATGAGCTTTAAAGAATTGGATATTATAAGGATTTTTCTATGATTACTGCTCCCATGGTTAATGGATCCGCTTGGAGGGGAGATCTAACTTGGCGTTGCAAGAAGGATCCCGTCCACTTGTGGTTACTGATATGGTGCTTTAAGATCCAGCTAAACCCAGCGGGTTCGAGGTTGATTATATATCTCGCGTCTGTATATTCAATTATAGGGTCAGCAGGGACTTCCTGACAGTTGCTTGTAACTGACCTTGGAGGAGTTGAGCTGATTGCCATTCTCGTGTTTTGTGAATTGCCTTTGACATGGTTTTTTCTGCAGATATGCATCTATTGCTGAAGATATGTTGGTTGCGAGTGCACCAGATCGACCAGAAGATCCAGGAGAAGAGCGAGGCTGCATCAATTTTGGTTAGAGGTAGACAGACCCAATCACGAGCTAGACTCAATCCCATTTTTAGATTTTCAATTTCCTTCATATCAATTGGTTGATTGAAAGGTGCTTGGCTCCAAACTTTCTCAGCAACATGTCAATGGAATAGCATGTGGGTGGTCGTTTCTGATTCAGTGCAATGGGAGCATTCAAAGAGAGTGTATGGGATCTTTCTCATGAGGCTTTCGAGCCCCTGGTAAGGCTTCTTGTACCGCTCTCCATATGAGGATTTTAAGGCCATACCTTTGATTCCCAGTTGAAACTTACAAGATTGCTAGTGAAGATCGGTTCCAAGTTAGAATTCTTTAAGTTTTCATA